TGTTCCAGTCCGAGGGTTCACCAGCAATCTTTGCGTTGCCCAAGACCAGTCAGGTCCCATTTTGACGGCTGTAACTCACTCTGTGTGGAAGAGTCCCTGAGAACTTTGCAGAAGATTCAGCCGGTCCAGCCAAGCTGTTGACTGGGGCCACTCACAGCCTAGGGAAGCAAGCCCGTGAGAGGCGGGCATGGTTGCCAGCCCAAAACTAAGCCAAGCACCAGGGATGGAGGGAAGGCGGTGGTGGCAGCTGTGTGACAGGGCCTCCGCTGCTACAGGCTCCTGGGGCAACCCCCTCGTTCACATAGCTCTTGGGGCATCTCAACAGAAGTGCCAACTTCAGCCTTAGAAAATGAACTCCTTAACAGTCCTTAACACCAGCATTCACTTGCAGAACGAGGCAACATGATTCATGCTGAACATTAAATAACCCTGTGTCTGTAACACTTCACACCAAGCTGCTGTCTTCCCGGAGGAGAAAAGGCAACCAAGTCCCTTGAGCCAGGTAGCTCTCCCCTGCCTTTTGCTTCTTTAGACCAATTCTATTCCTCTCTGAGGGCACCTACATGCACAATCACTCTTCCCTTGTCTCTGCCCATGGCCACATTTTTCCTTTTGCCTCAGGGACTCATTTTCTCCAGCCCTTTGGGCACCCTGTTTTCCTCCAGCTTCCCTACCTTGCAAGCCCTGGAAGCATCCTTTCTCGAGGCTGACTGTTCATCAGGCACGGGAGCAGAACGCTGCCTGTGTGTCCTACCAGCTGTGGCAAGATGGCATCTGCAGGCAAACCTGCCTGAAGTAGCCAGGCCTGGTGCAGCAGTGGAAACTGGTTCCCACTGCTGCCACCAAGAGTAAAACAACCTGGTCTTCCCAAATGTTCTTGGTCCCTTGGGAACCACTGGCCAAGGGCCCCTTGTGGTGGTGGGGTGTTTTGCAGCCCCCTTGTGTCCTTAAATGGCTAAGTTACAGGTTTCACTAAGCACATCACATGCAACCTGGGTGTTAAAACTACATACATAACCAGTAATGTGGTTCACCCCCCCCCCCTTGTGAACTTTCCCCTTTTCACCCCATATAGCTCACTGTTTGGATTTTGGTGAACACACTGTAAAAATGTATGAAGGATTCAAACTAAAAAATACAGGAAAAGTCTGAGCACACAGCAATAAATGGCAACTCAGTAACTAAATCCAAACAAAAAGAGGAAAATGCAGTCTAGCATGTACAGCACTGCACAAGCCTCCTCCTCCCTGGTTTCTTGAAGACCCACTCTGTGCATGGTAAGAGCTTCTGTTGCTTATGCTAGATCTTTCCACTTTTATGAAAAACTATACCAGGGCACCTTTACAGGAGTGCTCCTTCTCTTCCTCCACAGGAAGCTCCAGATGGCATGTTGGGCCATACCAAATGGTCTGGATGCTTTATATGGGCACCATTGCACGCCATAGGCAGTTATGGAAGTGAAAAAAAACGTATAAGGTATAAATGGATAGCCAGGACTACACCTATCAGCCAATCACTTTCTCACAAATGACAGACATTTCCAAGAACCAGTCTGTTGTGTTCGATCTCTCTCTCTCCCTCTCTCTCTCTCTCTCTCTCTCTCTCTCGTTGCATTTCTTACTATCTTCCTACAGAGAACACAGTGTATGGGGGAAAAGTTTTGAGTGTTCAACATTGCCTTCTTTTTTAGTTTTTGTTGTTGGAAGTCTGGGTGTGAGAGACAGTTTTGTACCATACAAATCCAAATGGTACATTCCAAAGAGTTTTGGAAACTGAGAACTTTCTGTTCATATTTTCTCCTACATAATCAAATCCTTACTTCTGAGTTAAGATGAATAAACTGGCATTTATTTTGATAGTGAAAGGAGCCCTCTGCTCATGTGCAAAACCTTTCCCAGCTCACCCTGAACCCCATTTTAGTTTTACAAGTGTTCCAATTGAATATTCATGTTTAGATTTAACTAGATTGCTCTCTGTCTGGCACACATTTTCTGTAATTCAAAGAGAACTAGAGGTAGGAAAAAATGTTAAGCTCAGCCACCAGCACAGTAATGCAACAGTGACCTTAGCTGTGAGGATTACCTTTCCAAAAAACATTGAGGTAGTCCACTCAATTGCACATCAAATGTTTCAAGAAACTATGGAGAGCTGTCTTGGATGCTTACAAGGAAAAGCAAGCTAGGAAAGGAAAAGCTAGCTAAGAAAGCATTTCCATGGCTAATCTGATTTTTCAGCTTTAGAATTCCTGATCCCAAGGCAGAGTCTCTTCCAGTGACAGAGCAAGGATTGTGCCGCATCAGCACAGTGCTGTATAACCATCAGACCCATGTAGAGAAGATGGCTGTCTCTAGACCCAGCTGTCTCGCTTAGACGTTCCAGTATCCATGAGTACTAAACACACAGAGACCAAGGGGGCAAGCCCTGCATGCAGCCTGGGTTCGTTGTCCTGAGGGCCTGACCAGAGTTCTTCTGCCCCCAGTGGCTGCACTGGGAACAGACAGGTATGCAAATAAACACACATGGATTGAGCGGAGGGGGACTTTATTTCCCCCCCCCATCTTTCACTCTTGGCATTGTCAAGAGTGAAAAAGCTCACCCAAAGAAGTCTGCTGGGGGTGTACAATCAAAAGAACATTTACAGTTTATTCAGACATAGAGGACATACATGCAGTGTGTAGGGCAAGTCCCCAAAGGGACTACAAAGATGGAGTTTGTTCAAGAAACTTTTATAACCTCTTAGTTACAGTTTGGAAGAGGGGTGGAGGATCAGGGGGGAGATGGTAGGCAGCATGCTAGAGGCACATTGGAAGAAAACAATAGGGACTGATTGGGGTTAGGACAACACAATAGCAAAAGAACCTTCTCAAAGGATGGGCATCTCTAAGGTGTAAATGGGAAGCAAGACTTGCAAAGTGGATTGAAGAAGATCAGGAATCCCATCCTAAGTCTAAAGCTGATCTTACTGTAGCAGGCTTTCAGCAGCCATGTTATGACGAAGTGTTTGCTGATTATGCCCTGACATTATCCACAGATAGCCTGGATACCTAAATATGGCTGCTGCACACACAAACCTGGAAGCTAAAACTAGTGTGACTTGGTTACAGTGGAACGCCCCACTTGTTTGGGTCATGCATCCTCCCCCCTCCCCTCCATGTTTGTGCATTTACTGCAAGGACGAGCCCAACACCACTGTACTGCAGTGCTAGGAGCACAGGACCGTTCCTTCTTCTCAAACCTTTGGTCCACCTAGCTCAGTACCGCCAACCATGACTGGCAGCAGCTCTCCAGGTTTCAAGTTTTGCAGCCCTATCGGTAGATGCCAGGCATGGAAGCTGGGCCCCTCCTCAGGTTCAGTGGTGCAGTCAGCAAGGCAGGTGCTCTGCCAGTGAATTATTAGGTCTTCCATTCCTTAGCCTTTTTCTTTGCTTTATTGTGACCTTTAGGAGTCACCAACAGCATCAGCTGTCTTTTATACATGAAGTTTGAGCAACACGGGCATGCATGACCTACGATTGTGAGTCTTTGTTCCCCTGCAGGCCTGCCACAATCCAAGTTTGAACACTAGTTGCAGTTCCAGGTGCACCCACCACACTGTTGCCTGCTCATCAGGAGAAAAACAGCAAAGAATGAATGGGGAGCTGCTGCTTCCCGCTTGCCCACTTCTGGAGCCTCTTTGCCCACCCCAGAAGGAGCAAGCACAAGTAGACAAGTAGGTCAACCATCCCTTCTCGGCTGGAGGAAGAGTGACTGACCCAACAGGCAGGCGGCCAGTGGCACAAATTAGCACGCAGCAGTGCCAATCTAAGTGCAGCCCTACTGGATATTTTCCAGATAAGCTTCAGATAAATATTCAGTGACCAGTTAAGAAAGCACCAGGTGTTTCATTCATTTATGTCTATGGCTTAACCAGCTAAGTTTCTGATAAGCAAGGTATCTGGCAAACACCAGGCTTCAAGTTCATTTTTGCTCCCAAGAAGCTGAGGACTGAATAGTGTCCCTGACCAGCAAGGGACAGTACAGGCAGTCCCCGAGTTACCAATATCCAGGTTATGAGCAACCCATACTTATGAACTGCCATAAAGTTTATTAATTTTTAAAAATCACATGGGAAAATCATCCTCACCACAGAAAAAGAATCAAAAGGGCAGAGGGAGAGGCCTCCAAAGCACGTCTTCCTGTCCCACCCATCCGGAGAGTGAAATCTCTCCCACATTTCTTTGCTGCAAAGAGGCGGCACTGGTGAGTTTGTGTGGTGGCAGGGCAAGAGATATTCAGTTTTTCCACTTTTACAGGGATCCTGAGCCCCTAACTCCTGCAGATGTGGAGAGCTGACTGCAAGTATCCAACTTACAAATTCAACTTAAAGATGAATTTCCATTTTCTCAGGAATTGAACTCATTTTTAACACCAGGAACTGCCTGGTATTATCTAATTCATGACTGTAATTTGTAGCATAACCCTGAAAAAGCAGAATATAACCTTCCCAAAGACTGAAATTAGTGAACTTCTAAATATTGGGCATTTTCCCATAAAAGTGTTTTGTAGAGAAAACGTTTATTGCTCAATAGAGCAAACGAATCCATAAAAGATAACGAGCTGAGATGTACAGAACTTCTGTACACAAAACATGGTACAATGCCATTCCTAGAATTTGACTGAAGCAAGTTAGTAATGAAGAAAATGTAGCCACTCAAGAACTGGAAAATATGGGATATACTTTTTAGTGAGATGTTACAAGATGCATCTTCTGATTTTGAAATAAATCCCACACGTATTATATTTCGAGAGTCCTTCTGTTTTTCTTCTCTGACAAAAGTAAAACAAGCAGGAGAGAATGAATGCTAGCATGAGGGGAACTACCTTGGCAGCTTGTGTAGCACTATCCAAAGTGTGTTGTGTTTGCGTATGTGTGTTCAGCCCAGAGCAAGTGACAATTCAAGATCTTAAAATCTATTCAACCCAAATTTTAGTTTACATTTAAACAAAGAACTGCTACCCTATTATTTCAATAGGCTTTATTTTAAAAGTCAGGTCACAGGTCCAGACTATTCTGCCAAATAGACAAGCTACAAATGCTTGTTTTGACAGTTAAGGATCAGTTTTAGTAGCATATTTGAGAAGTGAATAAAATTCCATATAAAACAATATTCAAATAGTTTCCATAGGAACACAGATAAATGTGACCTCCCCAACTGCCTATTCTTTTACACTTACGCACACCCTAGTCTTTCAAAACATTTAACAATTCTAGCAAGAATTAAGTTAATGGTCCCAAAGAGCTCTAAAAATATCCATCCCTAAACTTGCAAGTTAGCTAAAACCTTATCTATACATTAATGCTAGCTGAAGCACAAGCAGCTGGATGGTGTTCAATTCCACTTTCCCAGGCACAAGACAGTGGCAAAGTGATGTCCTGTTCTTCCACTTCTGCTTGAAACCCTTGCTCTTTTATCTGTTCCATCAATTGCCTAGTAAGGAGAGAAAAGTGAATGCATAAGTAATCTAGGTGAAAATCAGTCCTCAGTACATGATCACTTTCAAGAGTATACAATAGCTCCCAGTTACTAGCTGGGTTGGAGGGGGTGCATTATAGAACCTGGCACTGTGCACTCTGTGCTGATCTCTCTCGCTCAAGAGTGCACACCAAGAAAATCAGGACTGGGCCCAGTATACGAAGCAGTAAGCTGCACGATTTTGTTATTCCAAGTATAGCAAAGCACAAAGAGCCTCCAGCCACTTACTTTGCCTGTTTCTAGCATTCAGAACATCTTGTGGCATTGTTCCCGTTTTGAGTTTTCCTACTGAACAATGATATTCAAGCTAAATTTCGCACTGTCATGCATTTCTGCAACTGCATGTAGTGATGGCAGAGGACCCTACCAAGAAGCCATGTTTTACCCCTTCCAAAGCATTGTGGCCTTGAACTAGGAAAGCCACTACTGCCAAAGTGAGCCATCCTCAGTAAGAATCCCAGTGTGTTTGTGCCAATTGCATTGTGACGAGCCACAATAATAATAATTGTAATAATAATAAATAACTCTAATAAACATTTGGGGTTTTCCCAAAGAGAGAGAGAGAGAAAGAGCATGGGGGGGGGGGGGGGGGGAGAGAGAGAGAGAGAGAGAGAGAGAGAGAGAGAGAGAGAGAGAGAGGAAAAATACTCGCAGCTTGCTCGAGTCAGAATTAAGAGCTTCTTCCAACCCTTCTTGGCAGAGTTAAAAGCATGGAAGGAAAAATGACTAACCATGCTGGCCTTGACATAACATAGTGTATTGTTGGCCTCTGGAATCCATTGAAGGTGGAAGCAGCTGCCACAGTGTAGGCACCCATGTTTTCAAACAGCATCCACTCTCCAACCTGCAACTCTGGCATTTTACAACGCTCCACTATGCGATCAAGGCCATCACAGGTTGGCCCCCATATGCTGCAGGAATAGTATCTCTCATCTGGCTTAGGTCTCTGAAAACAGTTTAAAAGGAAAGCAGTCAGCACAATGATCCATGCATGTTGCCACAGCAGAGCTGACTTTAATGCAATTATTCATAATGTTTTTGATTACATCATGCCTAGACCAGAGTTCTACATTATGTCTGTTCTACAAAAGTCACTCCCACATTTTCTTTTTCTATTTCCTCATCTGACACACATACATGACCAAAATGCTCCCTCAAACAGGAACATTTGGTAAGTTTAATATTTTATTTTTACATAAGAACACATTAGCACGCGTGTGCGCACACACCTCTTACCTTTTGCAAAACAGGCTTAACATGTGCATGATCATACAAGATGCAGTTAAAAGATCCATAGACTCCATCATTTACATAGTACATAAGAGTTTTGTCATTCATTTCTTCTTCATCTATTGGGAAAAAAAGGGAAGACTATTGGAACACTGAGCATGTAGAGAAAGCCAGCCCCCAATGCTCTCTCACACTGGGAATGTCTAACATGGTGCTCTTATCATCAGTCACCATACCCTATCCCAATTCGAGTTTTTCTAAAGATAGACTTTACTAGCCCAAACTGTGACCACAGAACACAGACATATCTAGACAGGAAGATACATAATAACTACAACAGGACAACTAAAAACAAGAGAACACAGAAATGTGTTCACCAGCAGAGAGATCAGATGCTGCTTTTCTCAAGAACAGTGACGGTTTAGTGTAAAAGATATTTTTAAAAAATAATCCTGCCAAAGCAAATTCCAAAGCAAATGGAGAGCACTGGCCCTGTACTGCAGTTTGAAAATGACTTACAGCAGCGCTGCAGTAGAGTGCGCACAGATTCAAGCAGGACAGGCTCCAAGCGCTTTAAAACAACAGTACTGTTCAGAGATCTTAGACCCCTATTGCAGGTTGGCCTGAAGCTGAGAGAGTGGCTTACAACCCTGCAACATTGTGCATTGCTTGGAATTCTGCTATGTAAGCTGTGCTGATCTATAGGCCTCTGCAACATTTCTGGCCACTGGTGGGGCTACTTATTTGCTGCCACACAAGCTAAACCAAGCACTTGATTGTAAGCAAAGTCCTGAGCTTAGGCATGCTTGCAGGTTGGTTGAACTTTTAAAAAGTGCAAATGGGAAGAAAATGCCTATCGAGTATATCCACGTTAGAGCACAGACTGCTGCCTGATGCATCATTGCTGAGCCTTTGCAACCACAGGCTCAAATAACATACACATACTGCAATGTTCTGTCACAGAACCCCTCTTGTGCAGATAGGCTCCTTCAGGGCTGGCATCCTTTGGAACTTAGCCCTAATTCCAGGCATCTAACTTTCCCCCTGTATCAATGAGCAGCTGCTATTAAAGAGTAAAACACAAGCTGTCTCCTACCCCTAAGACTATCCCAATCTTGCAGGGAAATATAGAGTATGTTCAGAATATACACAGTTTCGCACACCTATCCCGCACACACATTTTTGTCATTTGCCAGATAATTCAAGCGTTGGACTAAGAACTACATACCATCAGATCCAGTCTGCTCCTTTATTACAACTTTCTTAGCAATTATGTTAACAGCCAGAGTAAAAGCTGATGCAACATAGTATCTGCCAGGCTCTGCAATAATTCTCACTCCAGAATCGGAAGGAAAATATTTGTCCAAAGCTGGATTGATTACATTTGTTATCTTAAAAAAATAGGAGAAAAGTTAGCTGTTCAGCAATACAGATACAACATGAACAATTAGCTTTCAGGCAAGATTTGCAGAAGTATCTGAATTATGTAGCCACATTCCTTTAACTAGCTTTCTCAAAGAAATAAATTCCCACTCCACAACAGGGTTAGGACCCAGCAAGAGGCTACCAAATTTGTGCCAAATACTCGACCAAATGAAGGGAAGGTGCTTTGGAGGAAGCTTGCTTATTTGAATGGGAGGTTACAGAGACCAACTAACTACACCTACTCAAGTGGAATACACTTTTCTAAACAAAACACAGTCTGAGTTCCTGAAGGTCTTGCCCGATCCAGTCATTTTGACCCCAGATTTAAAAGTCATTATGCATCAGTTTCAGGCATATAATTCCTCCCATGTGGAAATGCTAAAATGAACCTGGATGGAGAAAGATGGATTGAGCACCTCGCTCCCTACAAACAGTACAGTCAGTGCTATCATTCTGGGGTGTAAGAACAGCATGTTCACTTCCAGCAGGTCTCTAATTCAAGGCTCAAGGTTTGGTGCTTTGTACAAAATAGAGGGAAAAGTGGAAGAGCTGTACAGAGTTTCTATGAATATGTTTTCCAAGCTAAATGCAGTTTAGCAACACAGAAATGTGAGATTATACAATATAGGAAGTACAGTTCTGCCATGTTGCAGAATGTGTATCCACACTGTTGCCCAGTACTTGACTTTACTGTACAGTAACTTCTTTCAACTTTAAAATTTTGACATGGGTTGTTTACTAAAATGAGGTTATTTTACAAACTAAAATAGCTTCATAATGAGATAAAAAGTATTATTGCTATTCAGCCATATAACTAAATTGTGAAAGCCCCCTCTACATCAACTGGAAATATGAGATTAAGATGCAGCTATAAATTAGTACCTCTTCAAACTTAAGTTTCACATCTTCAGAACCAGGAAAGCCACCACCAATATCAAGCAGATGCATTTTGAAACCAAGCTCAGCCTAAATTGAAAAATAATGATTTATTAACATTTATATAGGTATAACTGACAGTAAAACTATCTGGACTCTAATAATTTATGGACACTTGTAAATTCGTCAAATAAAGATAAGAACAACCTCCCTAAACAATGTTTGGGTTAATCCACGTCCACAGATTAAACTAGTTGTTTCACAACACAGATATACAAATTATACTTTTAATATTTTGTATTCCAGAACCAATTTTCTTAAATTCTAATGAATTAGTACTAAATGAAGTATTAAAATGTACTTACTCCCATGTCGAAAACACATCGCGCATCAGAAATAGCTTGCACAAAGGTCTCAGGATCTGTACAGCCACTTCCAACATGGAAACTAGGAAAGATTGGTTGAGTTCAGCTTTGCCAAATAACTTAAAGAAGGAAAAATTATTAGTTGCAAAAAGGCCACCTATCCACATAGCTTTGCAACTCACCTGACTCCAATGATATCAATATCAAGTTCTTTTGCACGCTCAAGCAACAACCGACTGGTTTTTAATGTTGCTCCAAATTTAACACTAAGACGACAAACTGCCTTTGAGTCATCTGTTGCAATCCGCAAGACCATCCTAGAAAACATTTAAGAAACCAGCTTAAGAATACTTTCAAACTTAGGCTAATCCAACTGCATTCCAAAAAATACTTTCTTTTAAACTATACTTAGAATTGCTCTGAGGAAGCCAAGCTTTGTATTATCAAGCTGCCTGGTTTACTTATCAATGGAATTATGGAAAAATACCTGGACATCTTACTAAGTTTCTAAGATTAGTAGTGTCTTTTCCACAGAGGAGAAACATAAAGACTAAACTTAAAAACAGCTATTTTATTCCATGGCATCTTACTTTGCTTTTGGATGGGCTCTTGCAATTTTCATCAATTCAACTTCACTATCAAAAGTCATCATCTGCACACCACTATTTGCAGCATGCTTAATTTGAGAGACTTGTTTGCATGGATTTGCATATATTATGCGCTCTGGAGGCACACCAGCACTCTGGACCAGCTGGATTTCAGTCTGAAAAACAAATTATGATTTGCACAGTATTTAATAAAAACACCTTGTCCAGAAACAGACGGACAACTAAGATGAAAAACAAAACATTACAGACACTTACTTTACTGGCACAATCAAATCCTGTCCCAAGGGCAGCAAGAGTCTTCACTATGGCTATGCTGTCATTGCACTTGACAGCATAGAAAGGAGAAACTCTAGGTAGGGCTTTGCACCATCGCAGCTGCTTTTTCAGAACATCCCCAAGATCAGCTATATAAAATGCATCTTTATCATCCTGGAAAAGAAAAAACAAAAACCATTTATTAGTCCCTATCAGTGAGCTACTGTTGTATATTATAAGCTTCAGTATAAAATCGCTGTGCAACATTCACAATCTAATATCGAACATGCTTTTTTCTTTCTTCTTTCTTTTTAATACAATTAACACAACAATTATAACTAAACATCACCGATCAAACAGCACATCAACATCAGTGCTACCTCCACCAGGACCAACAACTCTAATTACTTAGTGGAAGATTATTTATTCATTCAGGTTGCCCCACTTCCCTTCCAGAACTGCACTGACTCTTGTGGTGGTTCACACCCCTTTCCTTTTATTAAAACGTATTCAACAAGGATTCCAAATATTTTCAAATTTATTTTCACTTGTCAAACCTTTTTTCCATTTAATATGGCAAGTTAACTTATCATTAGTAGTTATATTCCAGACTTCTTTATATCAGTCAACTATATGACATTCACATTTTGTTTTCCAATTCCTTGCTATTACTAACCCTACTGCTGTTAATAAATTTATCAATTCTTTATTTAGAGGACAGATGGAACAAAATACTAATGACAATAATGCTAATCCAGAGTCAACTTCAATATTTAAATTCAATATTTTACCAAGTACTTTAAAAATCCTTTCCCAAAACTCATTCATATATTTACTCTTCCACCACATATGGAAATATGTACCCACTTCTTGGTTGCATCTGCAACACACGTTGGAATATTCATTATTCACGTAATTCAATTTAACTGGAGTTAAGTACCATTTCTAAACTAGTGTATAAAAATTCTCTTTAATTCTTATTGACATAAATTTTAAAATTCTCATCCCACATTTTATTCCATTCTCCAGTGATAATATTTCTTTTTAAATCTATTTCCCAAGACTCTTTAAGAGGATCATAGCGATCCTCTTCTTCTAGTAATATATTGTATATTTAACATACTCACTGAGGAAGAAACTTCATTTATTTTTTGGTCTACAATATCCTTGGCAGTGAAGCCTTCATCAAGGAAAATGAAATTGAATTCTTCACTATTGAAGCCATTCATCTTGCCTACTGTTCAGTTTTAGCACCAAGATAATTTCCAGTGTAACAAGCTGTAGAGAGATAAGAAAAGGTTTTTGTTCTCCCTTCTATCACAGACAGGCAAGAAAATACAGGAGCTTAGCAAGCCAAGCCACACAGTTCAAAAACGTTGTAATCTGCTTCAACAAAAGGGGAAACCTAGAGTATGAAAATGCATAAATATATGTACGGCATTGAGAATCAAACTGCCAATTATACAGTCTAAGTATGATGCCCGCTTTGAAAGAGTTCAAAGATATTCCTGGCCAGTACCCCGCCAAGAAGGAAAAAGTGGCCAACAGGCACTTGTAACCTGGCTGAAGTTACAGAGTGATGATTGGGATACTGTGACATGTACTATTTTTGTATAGTACTAGAGGTGACTAAGCAGTGCAAACTTAAAGATGCAACCCTATGCACACTTGGGCAAGAAACAGCAGGACTGATTTTGAGTAAATGGGCAAAGGAGCAGGCTGTATTTTTATAATCTTTTCACCATGCTGAGTGACAGAACACAACTTCACACAGCTTGCTGACACAGTGCAAAAGTATGTGGTGCATTCAGAAGCTTCATGCATGAAGAATCCTCTCACCTGAATGCAACATCAGAAATGTCTCAATCCCTGCCACTGCCCGGCCTTTATGAGTAAAACAAATGGCAGATGTTGAATCCCAGGAGCATACGTGGCACACCTAAGGACAAGGCAGCTGAGGCAAGACAGGCATCACCAGTAGATGTACCTGCATCACCACTGTGTGTTGCACTGCAGCTCAGCTCACTTCAAGGCTGGACAAGAAGTAAGTTAACTTCTATTCCACTGTGCCATTCATGAAGCTCACAGAGAAAAGTCCTGTATGGGAAGAGTCTCCAGCAGACTACAAGAATGTGTGCACATTAGAAATACGATCCTTTAACTCCCAATTATTATCCAGAAAAAGGAGGGTGGTGATTATTTCTTAAATGACTGTTAACTGTGCTTGAAGGTCTTGTTTTCAGTGTTTAGGCTATTCTTCAGCCCAAAATCTCCACACCGAAATTAGCAGGTAGGGAGCACAAATGAGTCTGTGTCTCAGGTGGGAATAAGAATACACATGGGCAAATATTTAATATTTTTCTGCCATTACTCTGGAATGACAGGAAAGCAGCTAAAACTTCATAACCACAGGGTTTTTGATCCATCTTTTGGAAAAGCTGCATAGCAACCAAGATTAAAAAGCAAAACAGAATGGTAATTTCACCCAAAAGCCCAGATAAGCAAAATTCTAAACATGCCACTCTTAGTTCAGCTTTTAAATAATAATAATAGTTATAACTACTGCAATTTTTGCATCAATTATAAAGCTTCTTTAGATTTTTAAACCCTATTAATAACACTGCAGTCCTAGGCATACTTGGAAGAATATTTTGGCAGTCTTCCAAATGCATAATACCATAATCGAACTAAAATTCAAACTAAAATCAAAACAAATTCCCAAAGTGGGCGACTCTGGAGTAAACTGAACACATCACTGCTTCTTACAGATCTTGATTCCTTAAAGAATTTCAGGTATGAGAAGTTTAATACAGCAACAGAAATTAATGCATGTGCATATACTACAACAATTATGGACAGAGGCAAATCCTGGAATGTAAGATATTCCAGGCAAATCCCTGTTTTGCATTCCTCAAAGTGGAGTAAAACAGTTTTCCCTAACTTGCCAAGCGGCATCAGTGATATTTGCTTGGCAGCGTTAAATAACAGCAGTGCCTACATTGTTAAGAGTACAAGTTCTTAATATCAGCATTAAATATATACACTTCACATTAACAGGAAAAAAGAAGGCAAAGAGGCTACATTCAGACTGAAAGAATAAAGCCAACAATAAGCTTAGGCCATTTGTATCTGAATCAGGATATCCACCACCTACACATAACTAGCCAACCCCTTTCCAGCAAGCAGCTCCACAGAACTGAGCAACTATCAGCTACAGCCCAGACAGACACAATTCATGCAAACTGAGCAGAGTCTCACTGCTCTCTGCCTCGCACATTTGTGTCTCTTGTCACATCACCCCATTCAACAAAGCTCAGTTTCCCTGCACCCCAGCTCTCTGCCAAAGGTGGCCAACTGCTCTCCCGCCCGGTTCCAGCTTGACACAGATGTCTGAGGCAAGGAGGGCACCACACACCAGGCAGGGGTGGGGCAGATAGAGAAGGAAGACGGCATCGGCACTGTTCCTTTATGTGAGAAAAATGGGCAGGCCAAGCCCAGAGCTCTGTAGCTCAGATCCAACCAGCTACTCAGGCCACACCATTAAGCTGTTAATGTTCAGGACAAAAACATATCGTTATAGGTAACTAGGCCAAGGTTTTATTCTCTCTCCTAGACCTCATCTGATCACATCTGGTTGGACTACCAACTGACCTATTATTTCAGCTTTCCATTTCCTCAGGGTCTTGTTTCACCTGCTTTTTTCATCCCCACCTCCACCTCTCAAATTTGCTGCACCGAAACTAACAACAACAACAACAGCTGCAGGTTTTTTCTCCTCTGCCGCAGAAAGGAGGGAAGAGCCACCAGTGGCTAAAAGGATGGAGTATGTAAGCCTCTCCTAACCTGGAGGCCTTCCCAATGTGCTGGGGTGCATCCAGAGACAGCTGAGATGCTGGGAAGTGCAATGCAAGACATTTGGAAGGCCTCCAGATTTCGGGGGGGAGGGTGCGCCACACCATCTTCCCAGGACCAACACAGAACCCGTCACTCAATGACTCATCCCTTCATTGCACTAGTGGAAAACACGAACAAAAAAAAGGAGCGAGGGGATAAGAAGCGTTAAGAATGGAACTTTTAATACTCCACTAATTAAAAAAAATAATTAGACCGCAATCCTACGCAGGTGCAGACAGCTAGACTTCCTACAACTCCCAGCATTCCTCAGCCGGCCATGCTGGGAGTTGTAGGACTTCCAGCTGTCTAAATATAAATAGGACTGTGCCCATAGGCCAAGAATTCACATTATTAGGCCAATTTAATCAGACTCTCTATACGTGACTTCTTTGGCCGTGGGAAGGAGAGAGAAAGGAGGTTTCTGATAAACTTTGTCATCAGAACAGCAACACAACGGGTCGAATCTGGTTGCGGAGATATTGAGGAGCGGACAGACGTTAAGGTGGAAGGTATATCAAATAAAAATATTTTTTAATGAAGAAATACATTGGCTACGCTCCTTTATAAGAAATTAGTTTAAAAAGGGCGACCGAGCCAGTCGAGATCAGGAGCTTCGAAGACATTAAACTTCGCCTTCCATTTTCCACCCCGCGCTTGCCGAGTCGCAACGCCTCTCTCCTCTCCCTCTAACGCCGCCTTGCCTCCCCGCCCGCCCGCCCGTTCCACGTGGCCGGCCGGCCGCCTGCCTGCCTGGCCCGGTTTTCCCCTTACCTCAAAGAGCAACGATGGCGGAGTAGCAGCAGCAGCAGCCTCGTCCACCCTGCGCGACAGCCGGTGGCGATCGGCGAGCGAGTCAGCTTGGCCCCTCACTCCTCGGTTCTCTGGGCTGGAGAAAGAGCCGGAGTCGCTGCCGCCGCCGCCGCCGCCGCCGCGAAGGAGAGTGGCGGCTGCTGCTGCTGCTGCTGCTCCCAGCTCACCGTCTTCGCCTGACAAAGCCTTTTGGCGCCGCAGAGCCCCTATTTAAAAGCTGACTGGTCACCATGACAACAACCAGCTCAAACCAGCCCCGATCGGCTTCGACCGGGCCGCGGCCTTCGCCGAGCGCTATTATGACGTCAGCAGGAGTGAGCACGGCGTGTGGTGCGATTTGACATTTCTCGCTTCCTCTCTGAAGATGGCCGCCAGGTGTTAGAATTTCGACTGGCGTGTGTCGAAAGACTCACCATTAGAAAAGATTAGTGAGTGCTACGCAGTAGTGCTGTTCAGCTTGTAGCGTTTTTTTTTAAAGTTTGCATCTCGCTCCTTCCAGTTTCATTCAAACAGTGCAACATTCCCACTGCTAGATACTCGTGTGATGGGTGTGTAAGCTGCATGTGCAGAATTTTCTGTCTATCACAGAGTCTATAGGCATGCACGTGGCCCCTCTCCCCTTCCCCATTTAATGCCTGTGTAGCTAGTTTCTCTCCATGGATCACTGCCTTGTGGTGAAGGGGCTTGCGTAGTGCAATGAAGCTATGAGCTATGCCGTGCAGGGTCACCCAAGACGGACAGGTCATAGCAGAGAGCTCTGACAAAACATGATCCAATGGAGAAGGAAATGGCAACCCACTCCAGTATCTTTGCCATGAAAACCCCATGGACAGTACCAAAAGGCAAAAAGATATGACGTTGGAAGATGAGCCCCTCAGGTTGGAAGGTGTCCAATATGCTACTGGGGAAGAGCAGAGAGCTAGTACTAGTAGTGCCAGAAAGAATGAAGCGACTGGGTCAAAGCCGAAAGGACACTCAGTTGCTAATGTATCTAGTGGTGAAAGGAGAGTCCGATGCTGCAAAGATCTACACTCCAAAGGAACCTGGAATGTAAGATCCATGAATCAAGGCAAGCTGGATGTGGTCAAACAAGAGATGACAAGACTGAACATCGACATCTTAGGAATCAGTGAACTAAAATGGACAGGAATGGGTGAATTTAATTCAGATGACCATCAGGTATACTACTGCGGGCAAGAATCCCTCAGAAGAAATGGAGTAGCCTTCATAGTCAATAAAAGAGTAGGAAAAGCAGTACTGGGATACAACCTCCAAAATGACAGAATGATCTCAGTTTGAATCCAAGTCAAACCATTCAACATCACAATAGTCCAAGTCTATGCCCCAACCACTGGTGCTGAAGAGGCTGAAGTTGACCGGTTCTATGAAGGCCTACAGCACCTTCTAGAATGATTGATGTCCTTATCATGGGGGATTGGAATGCTAAAGTAGGAAGACAAAAGATAACTGGAGTAACAGGCAAGTTTGGCCTTGGAGTACAAAATGAAGCAGGGCACAGGCTAGTAGAATTTTGTCAAGAGAATACGATGGTCATAGCAAACACTATTTCTAACAACCCAAGAGACGACTCTACACATGGACATCACCAGACGGTCAACACAGAAATCAGATTGACTATGTGCTCTGCAGCCAAATATGGAGAAACTCTATACAGTCAGTAAAAACTAGACCAGGAGCTGACTGTGGCTCAGATCATGAGCTTCTGGTTGCAAAATTTAGGCTTAAGTTGAAGAAAGTAGGGAAAAGCACTAGGCTACTCAGGTATGACCTAAATCATATCCCTGATGAATATACAGTAGAGGTGACAAATAGATTTAAGGAATTAGATCTGATAGAGTGCCTGAAGAACTATGGACGGAGGTTCACAACATTGTACAAGAGGCAGCAACTAAAACCATCCCAAAGAAAAAGAAATGCAAGAAAGCAAAATGGCTGTCTGAGGAAGCTTTACAAATAGCTGAGGAAAGAAGGGAAGCGAAAGGCAAGGGAGAAAGAGAAAAATACAAACAATTGAATGCAGAATTCCAGAGAACAGCTAGAAGTGGTAAGAATGCCTTCTTAAATGAACAGTGCAAAGAAATAGAAGAAAACAATAGAATAGGGAGGACCAGAGATCTCTTCAAGAAAACTGGAGATATGAAGGGGACATTTCATGCAAAGATGGGCATGATAAAGGACCAAAATGGCAGGGACCTAACAGAGGCAGAAGAGATTAAGAAGAGGTGGCAAGATTACACAGAATAACTATACAAGAAAGAGCTTAATGTCCCTGATAACCACGATGGAGTGGTCACTGACCTCGAGCCAGACATCCTGGAATGTGAAGTCAAGTGGGCCTTAGGAAGTCTGAGCAACAACAAAGCTAGTGGAGGTGACAGAATTCCAGTTGAGCTATTCAAAATCCTAAAAGATGATGCAGTAAAAGTGCTACACTCAATATGCCAGCAAATTTGGAAAACTCAACAGTGGCCACAGGATTGGAAAAGGTCAGTTTACATTTTGATCTCAAAGAAAGGCAATGCCAAAGAATGTTCAAACTACCGCACCATTGCACTCATTTCACATGCTAGCAAAGTTATGCTCAAAATCCTACAAGCGAGGCTCCAACAGTATGTGGATCGAAAACTACCAGAAGTACAGGCAGGATTTCGAAGAGGGAGAGGAACTAGAGATCAAATTGCCAACATACACTGGATCATGGAGAAAGCTAGGGAGTTCCAGAAAACCATCTACTACTTCTTCATTGACTATGCTAAAGCCTTTGATTGTGTGGATCACAACAAATTGTGGCAAGTTCTTACAGAGATGGGAGTACCTGACCATCTTAGTTGTCTCTTGAGAAACCTATATGTGGGTCAAGAAGCAACAGTGAGAACTGGACACGGAACCACTGATTGGTTCAAAATTGGGAAAGGAGTTCGGTAAGGCTGTATACTGTTGCCCTGCCTATTTAACTTACATGCAGAGCACATCATGAGAAAGGCGGGGCTAGATGAATCACCAGTTGGAATTAAGATTGCTGGGAGAAATATCAACAACCTCAGATATGCAGATGATGCCACTCTCATGGCAGAAAGCGAAGAGGAACTAAAGAGCCTCTTGATGCAGGTGAAGGAGGAGAGCGCAGAAGTTGGCTTGAAACTCAACATTAAGAAAACTAAGATCATGGCATCCGGTCCTCTCACTTCCTGGCAAATAGATGGGGAAGAAATGGAGCTAGTGACAGATTTTATTTTCCTGGACTCCAAGATCACCACAGATGGGGACTGCAGCCAAGAAAGACGCTTGCTCCTGGGGAAGAAAGCTATGGCAAATCTAGACAGCATACTAAAAAGCAGAGACATCACCCTGCCAACGAAAGTGCGTATAGTCAAGGCTATGGTTTTCCCATTTGCAACTTATGGCTGTGAAAGCTGGACCATAAGGAACGCTGAGCACAAAAGGATTGAGGCCTTTGAATTGTAGTGCTAGAGGAGACTCCTGCGAGTCCCTTGGACCCCAAGGCGATCAAAGCGGTCAGTCCTAGAGGAGATCAATCCTGACTGCTCTTTAGAAGGCCAGATACTAAAGATGAAACTCAAATTCTTTGGCCACCTAATGAGAAGGAAGGACTCCCTGGAGAAGAGTCTAATGCTGGGAACAATAGATGGCAAAAGAAGAAGGGGACGGCAGAGAATGAGGGGGCTAGATGGAGACTCTGAAGCAGTTGGTGTGAGCTTGGGTGGACTCCAGGAGATGGTGGAGGACAGGAGGGCCTGGAGGAATGTTGTCCATGGGTTTGCGATGGGTGGGACACGACTTCGCGACTAACAACAACAACAAGCTAGTTTCTGCTTTGGGGTTGCAGGGTGGGCAGAGCAGATGAT